AGATGAATCCTACCCATCTACCCACGATAGGATCTATAGGTTTGGTCCCACACAAATTTTCGGATTCCGGATTGAACCTAGGTTTCGTCTTTCTCCCGAGCACCCTTAATCGGATTGTCGTCAATGTAGGGATCGCACTTTGCCGGAAACATGTCTTCGGCAACCGCAAGCATCCTTCTTTGTGCCTCGAACACTGCGTTTGTGAAACCCATCGGAGTTACCTGCATCTGCAATTGGCCTACGGTAGTGTGCATGGTTGTATAGGGCCTATCATGTGCATCCAGGAGAAGTTGATCATATCCGTAGTAAAGATCTACTGGAGAATAAATGCTTCGACGTGCATGAGATTCCACCAGTTGGTCCGCCTGGGGTAGTGACCCCGCGTCCCGAATGGTTACAACATTCACTTTCTGTAAATCCTGAATACATATGAGTGTTTTGTTCGGCTTTCGGATGACAAACCACTTGTTTATGTACGGAGAAGCCGTAGCCTCTGCGACAAAGGAGTCCATTTTTGCCCTGAGCAGATTTGTTACCTCGCCTGCTATTCCGAAAGCGTATGTCGGTCCTTTGACATTCCAACGCTCCTCATGTATTAACTTTGCATCCAACCACCCCTTTTGATGATCGTTGAAAGCAAAAGCTAGATGAAACTCTTAACAGGTTTCCTTAATCAAACGCGTCTCCTGCTGTGTCAGGAACCCTTCTACTCCTATCGTAATGGTATCTGTTGCCTCATCCAGTATACGGTGCCCTTCAGTCGCCCGCCTTTCTTTGGTCACCCAAAGGACTTTTTCCTCTTTATCCATAGCCTCTTCCTTAGTTGTCACCAGCAAGATCGAGACTGGCTTAGCCTTCTTTCCTACTGGCTTATACTTGCGAACACTTCCTTTCGAGATCTTTCTTCTAGAAAATGAACGGTGGGAACTGCCTTTGGTGTCTCGGCAACTCGTGGCTGGATATTGACCAGCTTCCCATTCAGGAAATAGCCCTACCTTGTGATATCTAATAGCCTTAATAAGTTGTAACAAGTCTGTGATCTCGAGAGCCACCTCCAACTCCTCAACCCACCCCTTCTTCGGTCTGGGTAAATTGGCTCCTAACTCAACTTTCAGTTATCTTTCCACTACCATAACGTCCAAGGTGTCGTCCTCTTGTCTGCTCTTCTGCTGCGGTAACCCCATCTTGACCCACTCCTTCTTGTTAAAGGCTTTCTCAATCATGATCTCTAGGCTTTCCCTTATTCCTTCCATCTGTGCGAAAGCCCCCTTTCGGGTGCTTTTCTCGACGGTTGGTAACCATGCCGCCCACTTCCCCTTGGGAGGATCGCTTCCTGTTCCAATGACGCAAAGCAGCTCACCACGTCCTGTCACTAGGTCCTCTATATCTACCATCTATGCCCCGTCATGCAGATGCATTCCTATCATTTTCACACTTGCGCACCAAGGTGTCCCAATGATTATGTCATGATCCATTTCGTTCATGACGGTCATCTTTTGAAATGACCAAATAGACTCTCTGACTCGAGCCTTAACTGCACACTTGGTGACATATCCTAGGAACGGAATTTCCCCGTCGGATCCCCGGATACTTCCAATTATCTCCCTGTTGATGACGCATACTGTGATCTTTGCAAAATCTTTCCTAATAAGCATGATTTTTGCTCCTCCCTCAACTAGTGCATCGGTGTGATGGATCCCGATTTGCACTTTCAGTTTCCCTACAGGCAAGGCATGAAACTGAGTTTCGTTTCGGGGGGCGCCCTCATGACTTCCCCTCCCTCGCTGTCGGTGCGAATACCCTTACAAGGGTATCCGCCCTGTTTTTTGCAAATGACAGAAAATAAGTTGATTTAAAGTTTAATATACCACGCGAGGCGTGGCGGAGTCTGTGGTTTACGTTGACTGAATGGTTTACGAGAGTAGAGAGTGTGTGGGCGCGTAGACTTGAGGCGCGCGTGATCTTTATTTTTGATTGATAATTGGGAAAGTCGGCGTAGCTGCCGGCCAAAATTTTTGTTTCTGATCAAATTAGGATTAAAAGGATTATGCCCCTTGATTGGTGCTTTTTGCTTGTGACTTGTGCGTACGTGTGGAGAACGGCATAGACAACAATTTAATTTTGAGATCGTTTTGGTAGGTCTGCGTGTCGCGCAGTATTGAGTTATTTCAGGTGTCCGTCAGAGTTGGACCAAGACTCAGGTCTAGCACTAGCGGTTACAACGTCGGACTTTCATCAGGGAGATTCAGGGATCGAGGTCGAGCGGCAGCAACGTGGGGATATCAGAGTAGCGTGAAGGGACCGAGGGGTTGAGGGCCCGACGGGGCTATCCCCCTTGGTTTTGCTATCAGCAGCGTCAGAGCGGTGCTAGCATTTTCTTTTTTCTCATGCGTCCTATTCTGACGTTTAAAAGTTTCTAAATATTTTTATTTACTGTCGTATTATTATTTTTCTCCGATGCTTCTTGACTCGGGCGTGGCGTCGGATTTGGAGGTCGTCTCGACGGTCGAGGGCTTTGAGCACGCACCTCCTATGTTTGACCTACGGGTTCTTACGTGTTCGTGATGCCGACAAAATTTTTCGACCTTGGCCGTCCTGAAACACGGAGCGAGGAGTTAGATGTGCATGCAAGCCAGCAGAAGATTTGGCCCACGAAGCCGGACGAAGTCCGAGTGGCAAAGGTTTTTGACGAGCGCATTGGTTGCCGCCCATCATGTGCTGTGGGAGGTTTGAGTGTGAGCAGGCCCACTGGGGCCCGACAGGCGGGACAACTCCTAGGCACGGGCGGCCTAGGGCACTGTAGGGAGGCCCGCAGCGATGCTGGCTGCAGTGACAGATCCCACGGAACCCGTACCACCAAGATCTGCACCAGGACCGCCCCACCTAGGCTCATGCTAAGGGTTTAGTGGCGGGCCCGTGCCCTAGGCTCCGTGGTCGCTCTGGGTGTGTGGACTGCCTGTTGGGGTCCCAAAAAGAGGCAAATGGCATAGAGCAAGAAAGGCCCGGGACACTATAGCGGAGTCACGCGGAGCGGAGTGGGGCCGGCAGGCCAGCAGTGACTCTGCCGTGCGAAGCTTTCGTCGGATTTAGACTCTAGGGGCAAAAGACTGAGCAAACAGCCCAGTAGCTGGCTTCCTTCGAGGTCTCCCTCAGCCTTGGCTAAGGCTGTCGAGCTCACGCGGTTGTAGGACCGTGCGCTGCGACGAACGGGCAGGCGGAGGACTGTACGAAGAAGAGTGGAGGCAATGACAGGGTGAGTGAACCCAGGCGGGAAACTGCACCACGTACATGTGGAAGAGGGGGGTTGGTCGATCGACTGGCAGCTATACCGAAGAGTTGACCGCTTGTCGGATCTGGGTATAGCGGTGAAAGGCGTATTGGGCCGCCAGGTAGCTCGGTCCCTTTCAGAAGTGTTTACAGGATAGCTACAGTTGGTGACCGGGCTGCGCAGGCCGGAGGCGGAGAGTGTCGGGGCCGGAGGTAAAAAGGACGGCGGCGACGACACGGTGGAGACGATGGGCATGGTGGAGAGAAGACGCCTACGTCGCCCAATTCTTGATAGAATCAGGGGGAAAGTACCAAATCAGGATTTTCGGGGCGAGTGACCCCGAATATGCTGTTAGATTAGGGAGAGACTTAGTGAGAAGAAAGCAAAAGTGAAAAATGGGTGTGTGGAGCTATGGAGGAGTGGAGAAGAAAGAGAGTGGGATGTTAGACTAGTGGATTATAAGTTAGCAAAGAAATGGTCCATGCGGAGCTATGGAGAGCGTGGAAAGAAGGCGAATACAGAAACAGGAAAACTAATGTATCTACCCGCCTTCTAAGTGAAAGATCCATTTGGTCTTGTTCGTCGCTGCTACGGGAGTTGCGGCAGGCGGGGAGCGAGGGTGGAGACTTACCTGTTGCTCGCTGTGTTGCTCATCCTATCGATGAAAGTAGTCTTCCGCTAGCTTCGCGGAACACGGCGGAACCGGCGATGCGGGCTGAACCGGACTGCGAGCTGCAGTGTAAGCTGCGCCCTGAACTGGCCGATGTGCGGGGCCAAGTTCGTACGATCAAGGAGTGCAGGTGCAAGGTAAGGAAGTGTGTTGTCAGAGAGAGAGGGAGAGTGAGGATATGGTTGAAAGAGCCACGACGAGAAGTGAAGGAAAGTGATTTGAAGGGGAGAGAGAACGTACCTGGCTTTCCTTTAGTCGGAGAGTCAGTCTCGTAGTTGCGCCCGTAGTGATGAGTCGCGTGGGTAAGTCGGTATACCCGGTCAACTTTGGAGGAAGTATTTGCTCACCTTTTGGGAGCTTCCCTGAGCAGCATGCAAAGGTAGGAGCAGGCAGTGAGAGCGTACCTATCTCGCGGAGAACTGTGCATCTTCTTGTAGTCTAATGGAAGTCCCATACCGGTTCTGCACACCGGAGGACTGCGCAGCCTATTGAATGGAGAAACTACAGGCGGGCTGCTAGCTGAGGGCCTACCAATTGGCCAACGTAATACCCAACTCGCCAGGCTGAGTGGCAGTAGACCAGCCGCAGGGATTGCCGGTTCGTCCGTTGATCGGTGAGGTGCTCATCCCACCAGCCTGCGCAGCAACAAGGCTAGCCGCAAAAGCACAAGTCTAGCTATTGGCTGGTGCGCTGCGCATGCTGCCGCACAGAGTTGGTAAGCTGCACATTCAGAGTACCAAGTAGTGAGGGGCAAACAACGAAGGTGGGCGAGGGCTACATAGCTGGTATTTGCGTAGATTCCACCATGCTAAACAGCTAGTTAGACCGCGTTGTTGCTTCGGTAAAGAGCCAACAGCTGAAGGTTCGACTCTAGCCTGACCAAGCTTCTGCGATTTGGCCGCCATTGCGGGGCCCTCTAGCCTGACCAAGCTTCTGCGATTTGGCCGCCATCCTTGTATCTGAGAGTCTTAATGCTTCTCCTTCTTCCCTTCTGAGTCTAAGTCTATTCTACTAGTTCTGAGAGGAAGGCGGCATGCGGGATTGCAACCTGTAGGACCGCAGCAAGACTCTGTGGGGCGTTAGCCCACCGATTGCGGGAGCTCTGCCGGAACTCAGGAGGAGTTCTGGAGGCAGGGAACTGAGAGGTAATGGTCTCGTTTTCCCTCTATAAACCCAGTTATACCCTTTTAGATGTATCCCTAATTGTGCTTTGACTGAATATACTGAGTGCACCCTTACTTTGACTTTCAGTCCGACTTTCAGGACACAAACCAGATTAAGTAAATGAATGTTTGTGTAATGTCAGTTTCAGTTTTATTGCCTTATGGGATTGCATCTGGGGGAAGGATGGGAGGAAGGCAATATTGCATGTGTCTGACCGGGTCAACCAAAGGTTGGGAGAGTCTCCATAAGTTTGGAGGGCCCAGCGCTATGTTTATTTTGGGTGGTCTGGTTGCTTTGATTTGCGAGGGCTGACTGTGATTGACTTTCAGGGACCAAGCATGTTCCATAAGTTTGGGTGGCTTGGTCGCCTTGTTTACTTTGGGTTTATTTCAGTTTCTTTAGTTTCTGAACGAGGGGGTATGAGCATGTTCCATAAGTTTGGGCGGCTCAGCCTTTTCCTGCTTTGGTTTTAAGAGAAAATGAATCAGGCTGAGGACCAAGACATGTTCCATAAGTTTGGGTGGTCTTGGTCCAACGCCTTGCACATGCTGGAACCAGAAGGTTATAACTTGGCTGTACCTTACTACCATTCTATCTATGAACAAGCTAGTCAGATAGTGTTCCATAAGTTTGGGTGGTCTGACTATAGCTTATCACAAACTGGAGAAAGTATTAATTAAAAGTAAATTTGTGGTAAGAAGGGGCAGGCTAGATCTTGAGTTGAAGATGATCGGTTCAGTTATATGCTACCTCAAAAGACTAAGTGCAGATAATTATATAAAGTTGGGATACTTAAACAGTTTAGGGCGACTAGAATGGTCTAGTCACATGCCCAAAGAAGAGAAAAGTTGTTGTGCCTTGTGTTTGTGTATATTTTATGGCTGAGCTAGGCAGGTTCCGATAAGTTTAGGTGGTCTAGCTTTATGCCTTATGTAAGTTGGGTATAAAGGGATAAATCATTGAAAGACTACGAACTATTGTTTGACCAGGTTGGCTTTGGGCTGGTGAGAGTACTTACCTTTGTGGTTTCGCCTTGCATGTGGCTGAGTGAGATTACTACTTAGTCTGAGTTTTAGTTTGACAGGTAGTTGCTTTAGAGGCTTGCCACGTGCTAGAGCGATAGGAGTTAGTTCAAATTTTTTGCATTTTCTGAGCTAACTTTATTTTACTTAGATCAATTCTCGCATTTTCTGGGATCTTTTGTTATACTTGGCTTTGTATAATTTTTGGTAAGCTACTTTCTCT